GAAGGTTGGCTGACGGGGCGTGGGAGACCCATGAGCCTCGCAGCACTCGCAGCCCGTCCCCAGCAGAGCGGGGGTTTGGTGGTACATCCTCCTGGCACCGCCGTACTGGGTCAAAGAGAAGCAGGAGGGGGGCTTTCCAGGAATATCGCCCATGGACGTTGTTTAGCTTAATGATGGCGAACGGCAGCCTAACCGGGGCAGCAGTAGCTTATGGCCTGAGCAGTGGGAGGACTGGAGCTCCTGCCAAGCTCTTAAACCTCTCTTTCGGGAGGGCAGGATGTAAAACTGGTGTAAATCACTAAAAAGCTGAGTCTTTTTGCTAATAAAGTCACTGAAGCAGGTAATGACTCAGCTGGCCAAGGCAGAGTAATGCATGAGGCCAGGCTGGGACCCCTTCTTCTCCAGGATCACTCCAGGTCCCTGATGCCAGTCATTTTACTGGGATGGTGGGAATCCTTGGCTGGATTTGGCTGCTGCTGCTCTAGTCCCGAGCAGGACCCGAAGAGAGTGACGGGAAGGTGGGACAGCAGGGGAGAGGAGGGTTGAGGAGGTGCACAACAGCCTCCCAGTTCCCTCTGAAGGAAGGAAGAGGGAAAAGCAGCTTCACACCGTGAGCGTTGGTGCTCAGCCCCTCCACGAGGCCTCAGTCCTCCCTCCCAGGATGAGGACAGGGAAGACGACGGCTGGGAGAGAAGTGGTGGGGGCAAGATAGATTTGTGTTTTCTCTGGGGTCTGCTGTGACACCCCAGTGCTTCTCCAGCAGTGCCATCAATATTTAATGGGGTGGAGCCATAGTAGTCCGGCTCAGGCTGACCACGGTCCCCAGCCTGGCTGGGTCGGAGGGGGTGCAGGTAGGTCCGCTGAACCGGGAGATCCTCCGAGCCACATGCCACAAGGAACTGCTCTGTGGCCAGGGCAGAGCCTTGCACCCTCTGCCCAGGCGCTGAGAACAAGCACCAAGCTGGCTCCAGGCACCTCAAAACACTTTCACGGTGAGACCAGGCAGAATACCCCAGCCTGGATGTGGGAACCATGAGAAACGTCCCTCCTTACTCCACCAGCTCCCAGCTTTAACCCATGGAAGAGCTGCACCAAAAGGGGCCGCAGCTCCGGCAAGAGCCAAGTGGGAATCAGCAGGCACAGAGCACCCCGGCCCTGTTTGCTGGTGGGGGGAAGCAGGAAGGCGAGCTGCAGAGCTGGGGCCTCTCTCTCTCCAATTAAAACCCCAAGCCCTGACCCACACGGGCACATCCAGCACCAGCAGCCTTACAACTCGGCATGGAGATGGAGAGTGCTAATGAAGAGTCACGGAGAACCATTGTTCCAGCACTGGGCACAGTGAGCAAAGGGTTAACACCCCACAGCAGCACGAAGCAGCGGTGGGAGTAAAGGGTTAAGGCGGTGGGTGCAGGGTATGTTATCTGTCTCTTCTCTAAATATTATTTCCTCCCGTGAAACCAGCTTTTCATCCTTGGCTAGAGGCAGCTCCCGCTGCTGGGAATCCAGCAAGAGCTTCTATCTGCTGCGGCACACACCACTGCTCCCAGCAAGCCGCCGAGACAAAGAGCCGCGCTCCCCCGGCGAGAGCAGCCCCAGCGCTGGGACCAGGCAGCAGCAGCAGCGCAGAGAGGCTGGGGCTTCAGCCCGAGGACGCAGATGGCCTCGGGATGGAGTTTGGGTATCACAGGCTTTTTATCAAGGAGGAATCTCACTAACGAAAGCCCCGTCCCTCCCGGCTGTACCGCGGAGGGATTTCCTCCCCACCTCCCAGGACGGAGGGCAGCAGGCTCAGCCTGCCGCGCTCGGACAGGCTGGGTCAGGCCTGGGCAGGCTCCGGCCCAGCGGCAGGCGGCTGCACGACCCCCAGGCCGGGGCAGGCTCCGGCCCAGCGGCAGGCGGCTGCACGACCCCGGCCATCTCCCCGGGAAGGTTTGTCAGGGGCTGCCCATTTCACACCTCGTCCCTTGGGTGCGCCGGGACGGACAAGAACAGCGGGATGCTCCGTGGGGGGACACAGGCAGCAGCCACTGGCTCCAAGGTCACAACCTGGGAAAGAGGGAGGGTGCAGGGCAGCCCCTGCCCCTTCCCCAGAAGCGCAAAGCAAACTCAGGCCGCAGTGAGGGTCTGGTTGTCTGCGGAGCTGGTGGCTGGGATAAAATGGCTGCTGCTAAATCTTCTCCGAAACGTCCTAAACTTTTAATGCGTATGAAACCACGGCAGCATCCCTTTTGCACCCCGGAGGGCACAAAGGCACAAGCATCTCCTCTCTCTCATTCGGCCGGAGCCACGTGCTGCCGTCTGAACAGCGCTAGGTACGTGGCTGGAATGAAAGTCGCCTTTCCAGCTCGCGTGCTCAGAGAGCGTTTGCCGAAGTCAAAGGATTGCCAAGTTAAAAGGGTCAAACCTCCAAGGACAGTTGTATCTGACTGGCTATATATAATTCCAATAGCATCTTCAATGGGGATTATAATCTGAATTGAAGCGGAAAGACCTGAGGCAATGAAGCTGTCAGCAGTCTAAGATTAAGGAATTAAAACAGCAGTGAAGCATTACAGGATTTGTTCTAGCTGTATTAGAAAGAGCAGGCTAAACACACTGCAGCCTTCCTTGGGTCGGAAATTTCATACGAGTACAGAGAAGGGCGAGAGCAAGGATCTCATCAATATACATAAAAAGAGAGAGGAGAGCGAGACAGAGCTACGAAAACCCAGCCACGCAAAATATAAAACCTAACTGTAGACGGAAATGAGTCACCTAAGGCTTGACTGAAGTAAATAAAAGCAGAAATGAATTTAGGGGAGGGCAGAGGTCAAAAGACACTGGTAGCCAGCAGACAGGAAAAAAATGGCCCCTAATATACTAAGGCTGTTAAAATCTGGAACACAGCCCAGTCTGGGCTTGGATTGCCTGATGGAAATGCAGGTGCCCAGTCCTGTCCTCCCTTTTCCTTCCCCTTCCCCTCCCATGTTCCATGTTCCCTCCTCACCCATGTCCAGAATTACTTTAAAAAGCCAAGAATGACAGCAACTGCCTGCACAGGGCAGCTGGCAGCTGAGCCGCGAGCGAGGGGGGCGCAAGCCTTGCCTCTGCCTCCGTCAGGGTCCCCAGAAGGCCACCGCCAGCTCTGCGCAGCCTGGGAGATACCAGCAGCTCTTCTCAGTGGGAGGCAGAAGCTCTCAAAACAAAGAAGGAATCAAACTCCCACCAAAGGACCCATTAAAACGATCCATTTATTTCTGGCAAATTGCACACACCTTTCTTTCATTCGCTCTATCCTAGATCAGTCGTGGGGAGGAATTTCTCCCCTGCCTTAAAGATATCAAAGTTATGGGACGAAACACAAAGAAAAGCAGGGAAGTATCCCTTGCAGATAAAACACACAGGAAAGTTTCGGCGACCCAGACTCCATGCAGCCACCAGCTCTGCTCAGCACAAGCCACGAAGATGCAGGTTGCACCGCTCAACACCGCTCGCTGCGGCACATTTCCTTCAGTTACATGATCCAAAAAGAAACTGAATCGCTCCCTGCGTCTCAAACACACAGCCCGGTCGACAACGAGAACAACTAGGGCCCGGAACAACAATGCCTGGTTGACAACTAGATTAATCCCGAACCAGGCCATCTGTACAGAACTGTTGCACTTTATTGACACAAAAACGCACCCAGCAGAACACTTCCCTGCACACACAAGGCCATAGAGCAGTGACGAGCAGCCAGATCTAGGACACAGAAGGAGACGGGAAGCTAATGACAGGCGGAGCTTGTTCTGCAGCACAGGTAGAGCATGGAATCGCTTTTCGACTCCTCCAGCCAATTTCTACTGGGAGATTTACATACAAGTCCTCAATCAAGTCTTTTAAGAGTTATCCAGAGTCCCCTGGGTAAAAACAATCTGTTTCAAGAAAGAGGAGAGTCCAGAGCTGCTCAGTGATTCTTTTTGGTTGAGCCGAAACCAGAGAAACCCATCACAGCTGCCATTTCGTCATCCTCTTCAAATGTCAAATCTTCCTCCGCCCGCCTTTTCTTCTCTCTCTGCTTCTCCTTCTTGTAGGCTTTGGCCTTCTCCTCCTGCAGCAAGGGACAGAACAGCAAAATAGTTTGAACCTCCTGAGCCGAGTAAGCTTTTGAGACATCAGGCACCGCACAGTTAACCCAAGTCCTACCAACAGCACCCAAGTCGTGTCTGAGGAATAAAATAGCCAGCAGAAATCCTGGACTGCAGTCTCCCAGGAGGAGGTTTCCCACTGCCTCCAGACCACCCCACCTACCACCCCAAGAGCAGAGTCACACAGAGGATGTAGCCAAAAAGAAGCATTACAAAACTCTCTCTTCCAAACAAACGTCAGAAGTTTTGTCTGGAATCAACGCCGAGGCAAGAAGGAGCTGTTTTTAAAGCAGGAGGCGTTTCCCTCGTAGGATGCCCTGTTCAGTGACTGCGATGCCGAATGTTGCTGCCTGTTGGCTTTCAGCCTGGCGGAGTGACAGCTGCTCACTGGAACAGAAGCTGAAGCTCTGAGCGGCTTTGGGTGGTTTTGGCATCAAAGAGTTTGTGCTGCTCTCATCAAAGTGTTTTGCTCTGCAAGGATCACAGGCCCTGGAACAGCGCCAGGCTCGTACCGGGCGACGTACAAGCACGGCTTCGGCTCCCAACTTAGCAACTGCTCCTGCCATTCCCATCACCACCCGCTGCGCCGCAGCTACTGAGGACAGCCGTGCCCTGGAGAAAGCTACACCAAAAGCTGCTGCCGATTTCTTTGTTGCCATACATTGACCGGCAGTAGCTTTTCAACGCACAGCACCCCCTGCACTGCTGGGGCACCTGTCTCCTACCTCCCCCAAACAGATCAGGCTCAGCGGCATCAAAGCCTGCTCGAGAGCTGAGCGCAGGGCTGCTCCGTGTGCACCCCAACAGAGCACCCCTGCGGTGAAGCAAAGCTCAGGGCTTGGGCAGGGAGACTCAAACGGGCAGCGATTTTTAACGTTTGGTTGTTATGTGACTGCTGATGGAGGAGAAGCACCCATAGAAGCTCCTCAACTGTCAGAACTTTGTCAGGTTTTCAGATAGACTTGATCTTCATGTCAGGGAGCCGACACCTAAGTCCAGGTTCGAGAGGAATCTGCTGTCTTTCACTGCCTCCACGCACATCTCACACCACAGCACACCGCTCACAAAGCCCTTCCACACTCGGGGAGGCCACACAGAAGCAACGTGCCACATGGAGAAGGATCCCAGCAATCCTAAGAACCATGGAAGGTAAGGGACAAAGACACAGATCTACTTATCAGAGCCCATAAGTTCAAACACAACTAATGGGAGACAAAAAACGGGTACATTGCCAGGCTTGTGCTGCTCTCGGTGGAAACCTGAAGCATCAAAAGTTATCCTCACACAGAAAGAGGGGAAATGGGTTTCCAGGGACAGCAGCAGAAAACTTTTTAAAAAGCAAACAACAAAGAAACAAAACCCACTCGTAGCAGCAGATGAGAAGCCCATGCTACCAAGAACAAGGCTTCTGTGGAATAAGATTAGGAACCAGGGTTGATTTCCTCACAAAACATGTGTCTGGGGAGCTCTGCTTCATCAGTCGCTGCCCAGACTCACCTCCTCACGGAGTTCCTTCATCCTCTCCTCAAAGTCATAGTCCTTCTGCTTCTCCTCCATCTTCTTCTTGTTCACCTCAAAGCGTTTCTTCACCTGATCCAGCGTGGAGCGCTCCACCCGCATGGACATGCCCAGATTTCTCTGATCTAGAAAACAGGAGTGGAATCAACCGTGTTCAGCAATACTCGTAGCCTTTGACGGTCTGCACATAGTCCCCGTCCCTGACCCCAATTTAAATATCTCAGCACAGCAGCCTCTTCCTGCCTGTCATCCGTCCCCTCAAAGCAGCTTCCAGGGCCAGACTACACTCACGCACAAGGCCATACGCCCTCAAGGCTCAGTGCTCCAACCTGACCTAACCGCACTGACTCGCAGGCCACCCACCACTCAGAGCGCAGGGAGCAGCATTGTCCCCCGTGTTCCCGAGCGGCAGAGCCGCGGATGGCACTGTACCACCGCCCAGGTAACGCAGAGCCAGCCTGGGGAGCGTGACGCAGCCATGCCTCCTCCTCCAGAGAGGCACGCACTTTCTGTCCTCATATGGTCCCATATTCCTACGCAGATTGGGATTTCTTACGTCAGAGGGGATGGGCCTTAGGGGGACACCATAACCTAAACCAGGCAGTGACTACAATGATCCATACATTACTTGTAACAAGAAGGAGGACGCAGCCTATTCTTTTAGGGTTCCCTATTAGGAAGCTCCCCATCAGCTTGGTGTCCTGACGCTTCAGGAAATTTAATCTTGGACCAGTGGAAAAAAAAAGGTTGGAATGTTGAAAAAGGGGCCAGAATAAAACTGGCAAGCTGGCATCTCTCAGCTGTGGGAGAAGCCAAACAAGGTATCAGTGGCTCTCAGTGGGAGATCCTGCTTGCAGAGGACATTTCTAACTAAAGCAGAGACAGGAAATATTAAGCCAGGCCTCTGATTCAGTGCCTGTTTAGAGCAGATTCCCAAATTTCTGCTCATGAGTAAGCCTAGGTTGAAGGGGCCACCCCCGGCAATGTCTCCAGCCCGCATTGCCTGGTGGATCCAAACAGCCTCTTGGCTCCAGCAGCCATGCACAGGTTTGTCCCAGGGATGCAGCAGCACTTGGAAGCTCAAACTACACACCAGGAACTAGTAAGAGGGCTGCCAAGAACAAGCAGGTTTCAGCCAGATTTAGGGACTGGATCAAAAGCTCCCAAACTTACCCTGTAAATCATGTCGTACCGAAGAGCTATGCATCAGCCACTTCCCAACCCCAGCTCAACCCTTCATCTCAGGCCCCGGCACAAACTCACGCCAGGATTTTTGATTCCAGATTCTCTCACATGGTCTTACTGCTCATCTCCCAACATGTCAAACAAAGCACTTCAGGGTCCTCCTCCCATTCACATAAAAGCACAGGGCTTTA